CGTATATATATTTTTTAATAGACTGCAGTATTTATTTTTCTCCTTTCTTTCCGATGAGTCCGCGGGCAAAAATACGTTTCTTGACCGTGGCGATTTTATCGCCGCGTTCTCTACGCGTGGAAATGTAATGAAACGAAACGAAACGAAACGAAAGAATACGCGTACTCTCGGTGAACCGCGGCAGAAAGGCACCAGGCTAGGCGTAAAGAAACGTAAGGCGCGGGATGAATCACGAGGAATGATCGTCGGTCAGCTGAAACGTTCGTGATATCCGGCGACGTGCACGACGAACGGTGTTTGTCTCTCTCGCGAGCGCGAGCGCTTCGAGTCGCTATCCCGAGGAGACGTCTCGAAGGTGGAGGCGAAGGAGAACCGTCGCGACGCCCAGAAGGCCTGGACGCGGCCTGGACGCGTCTTTCGCTTGTCGCTTCTATTTTTCCCACGAGCGCGACGTGCGTTCGAATCGGACCTCGCCCCATGCTTCGGCTCTGTAAAGAAAGAAGAGAAAGAATGTACGAGAGAGGGAGAGAGAGAGAGAGAGAGAGAGAAGAAGAGGGGAAGAAGGAAAGGCAGAATAGAGACCCCGAGTAGAGAGAGCGAACGTGTGCAGACTCGTCCTTCGTGCCGGTGCACGCTTTTGGACGCTGAGAAGAGCAGGAGGAAGAGGAAGGAAAGAGAGAAAGAGAAGGACAAAGTGCATATATACGCCCGGTGTGTACGATATACCGGGTATCTCAGAATTAACGGTCGATGTTTTAGCAAAGAAATTAAAGATACGAAGCAATTTAATGTTTATTTGTATGAAAGTAGATAGATTTTTATCTCGATTTAATTTCCTTTCTGTCTTCCTCTAGTTTTAAGAATTAGACAAAGATAAAGAGAGTCAAGTTAATATCTATATTGGACAAGGTCATCTGTATGTGAAAAGCGAGCGGATGGATTTTGATTGATAAGATCAAATTAAAGAAGAAATCTGAAATTTGGTTGTCTTTATTCCTAGATAGATATTCTTATTATCTTTGGATATGCTTATTTTGCTTCTAAAGACGTTGAAAAATTCCAGGAAATACGACGAGATATTAAAATGATGATTTTTATCATTTCGTTCGTTTATCGTTGTAGATAAAAATATTCTTACAAACATGTGTCGCAAGTACGTGTCGAGTGTATGCAGATTTAAAACAGGATTTTCAAATTTAAGTGTGATGTTATTCATTCATTACATACACTCAGGAAGAAAGTTGGAATATACGCAAGCAAATTACACTGTTAACTTTATAATGTTAAATCATACTCAATTTGAGTTATCTTCAATTATTTCCATAGATTATCACTGCTTCTACTTAATATGTCGTTAATTTAATTAAAATAATAGACTTAAATGTAACTCAAGAAGATGTATTAAATTTGACTCAATTGATTTATTATTTATTACAACGTACATTAATATGGATGATATTTGCTTTGAAACTAACTACAGAAATAGATTAATTTACGTTTTAATGTACATGGAAGTTAAAAATAACAAAATGTTGTTTCACTTAACAAGAAATTGACCTTTGTGCTTCTTTGATATCTAACAGTGCACATGTGTTTTTTTTTTATATTTTTATTTATTGGTATTTATTTATTTTTGATATTTTATTTATTATGCAAATTTGACAGCGATAGTGAAATATACTTCTGTGAAACATATTTCATTAATTATAAGAGAAAATAAAATAGACGGTTTATTTGTATTAGGAATAAAATTTCATTTGCCGTATTTAAATAAGAATTTATTTCAATGAAATAAACATTATATCTCATGAATAAATTTTTAATATCTTTTTCTCAGTGTATTATCGCTCGCTCGGGATATTGTTAAATGCTAAAAATATTGTTAAATGCTATTAAATAGGCAGTGATCTCAACCTTTATTATTAAATCGAGATTATTGAGATATTCTAGGAAATTATTTGAAATTGAATACTCGTTTTACAAACTTTTTTGAAAGCAGAGCTTTCGAACTTTGATTATAGTGTTATTCATTCATTAAATATTATCACTCGGAATGTTAAATGCTGAAATATTAAATTTGATACGTTTTTCTCTCGGCCCTTATTATCAAATTGCAATTGTATGCTTTTAAGAGATTACTCGAAATTGGACACGCGTTCCAGGAAACTTTTCTGTAGTAGCACAACGTCGCCATTCTGTTTATCTTATCAGTCGCAAAATTTCCCAACGCAGACATCTATTCTTTCTGATCTTTTGTTACTTCAGGTATTTTATTATAATATATACGCATAACATGCCGATACCACGATAATTTGATTGCATAAAGGGGAGTAAAGGTACGAAAAAAATAAAATGGACGTGTAAAGTACAAAAATCATACTTTGTATTTAACGAATTCTCTTCGTACACATATTTTACGTACATTCTATTAAGATATTTTATTAA